CCAGTTTTCAGTCGAAGCCATGTTGACGGAGCGTGCTTAGTTGTTAAGGGAGTTGCGTGACAATTTGCGCAAGATGCAGCAACTCATGCAGGATCAAGAAAACCGCCATCGTCGAGAGGTTTCATTTGTCGTTAGGGATTGGGTCTTGTTAAAACTTAAACCGTACCGTCAGTCCTCGGTCGCAAAACCTCTTTCGGCAAAATTATCATAGAGGTATTATGGGCCGTTTCAGGTGCTTGAACGCATTGGGGCTGTGGCTTATCGCTTGCTGTTGCCGGAGGGGTCTCGTATCCATAATGTTTTTCACGTTTCATTATTGAAGCCTTATCACTCGGAGGTTACCCCTGCATCTCCCGGTAGTCTACCACGGGATTTTGAGAGGTGCCGACTGATTGCAGCACCCACAGCGGGGGTTGATGCACGCACAGTTTTGGTGCATGGCGTGCCGCAAGAACAGTGGTTGGTCACTTGGTCGGATGGTGACTTGACGGATGCTACGTGGGAGCCGGTGGAGTCTATTCGGAAGTCGTTTCCTGACCTTCAACTTGAGGACAAGTTGCTTCTCGATCCGGGGGAGAATGTTACGGACACTACAACAACGCCAGTCCATACCACACGGCCCAAGAGGGCGAGGCGGCGCCCTAGGCGTTTTGATGATTATGTTTGATATTTCTGTGGAAGATTTTATTATTTTTATTTGATTAATTATTTTACATTAGTTTTTTTTAGATGAGCGTGATATAAGCTCCTTCAAGAGTTTTCTTTTCGGTTCTTTCCCTTGATGCTTTTGTTGAACCGACATGATAGAATACCTAGTTGTGTTAGGATAGGGTTACTTCTTTTACCTATAAATATGGGTATTAAATTAATATTGAAGGACAAGAAGAAGTTTAGCCACCTTTTCCTCTCCCTCTTCCTCTCTTCCCTCATCTCACGTCTCTTTTCCTCTTCCCAAAACTGTGGTACGTTACCCATTGTGGTAACACCGTAATAAAGAAATCAAACTATCTAAGCTTTTACGATCATAACAGACAATGAATTGGAGTAATATCTTTTACCGGGCAAGTTCTTTTACTGAACCCAATATTAATAAACAGAGCTGCTAAAATTGATAGTGACGCCCCACATCCAATTTTTCTAAGACCTGAAAATTGCAAAACAACAATGTAAATTACGGCTTGTTCTCTCACCGTTAAAAAATACTCCTTCTGGTCCAAAAAAAACACTTCCTATGTTCATTTTTTAGTCAAATAGGACCAAAAGTTAAACAATTATACTCCCTCCGTCTCAAAAAGATTTACACGTTTTGACTAAAGTTGAAATTAAAGGAGGGATAATTTTGTGTTAACTTTCCAAAAATACCCTTGATGTGATGGGTAAAAAGTAGGATGTGATGTGTAGATTATTAAGAAAAAGGTATGATGTGATAGGTAGTGTTTGAAAAAGTAAGGGGTAAAGGTGATTTTTTAATTGAAATGGGTAGAAGATTGTGGGACGCAATTTTTTTGAAAGGTGTAAATCTTTTTGGGACGGGGGAGTAGATTCTAAGATGAACCTAATTATGTCTCATTATAATTCAATATAGTTTGTTCGGAATATATGGTCAAAGAGTAACACGGTTTGCCTTAAAAAGTCAAAACAGGAAAAGTGTTTTTGGACCAGATGAACTATATTTTTTCTCATTTTGCCCATAATGATTTTATGTCAATAAAGCTCACCTCTATCACTTTTTAGTTTTTTTTCTTTTTTTATCACTTTTTTTCTTCACATTGTTCCTTTTTTCATAAAGTTTATCCAATTTCTTATGGAAGTATTTTTCAAAAATTCAAAATTGTTTATCTGATATAAAAAAATAAATGCGATTAAAATGACTATAGTAAGAACAAAATGAAAGAAATACATTGTTTATCAATCATAAATGGAATAGGGGGCGGAATTTCCCCTCCCACTCTTTACAACAAAATGTAAGGGTCTTTAATGCTTTATATATATATATATATATATATATATATATATATATATATATATATATATATATATATCCCTCTGTCTCAAAACCACTTTTCCCTTTTGACTTTTATGAAATTTAAGGAAAGAATATTTCTGTTTTGTTTTTTTCCAAATAATTCTTGATGTCATGTGTAAAAGTACGATATATGCGATGACCTTGGGTAAATAAGCAGTTGTGAGTAAATATGATGTGATAATTAAGTAGAATAAAAAATTGTAAAGATAAAAGTGATTGTTTAATAGAAAGTGGAAATACTCTTTGGGATGGAGAAATTCCCTCATTTGGAACATTTAGAGAAAATATTTCCTCAGTGAGACAACTGCATGTTATACATGTGATTCTTTTTTTTTAAGTTCATAATTTTTGCATGTAGTACATGCAAAAACATCAACATCATTTCCGAGACACCTGCCACCCACTTACTCCTTAATTACGTACATAGTTTTTTTTTTAAAATTATTTCGCATGTAGTACATACAAAAATCTGACCATCACTTTTTTATTAAATAATTTTTGCCCCAAATGCATATATGGTTTGCCTTAAAGAATATAAATTATATTATTATTTTTTTATATATATATAAATTTTTGTTACATATCATTAAATATGTATTATTGAAATTTTTTAGTATCAACATGAATAATATTTTTAAGAAGCAGAGATAATTAAATATTATTTATAATTAATCGAGTTCTAAAAAGTACACAACATAAAAAGCACATAGAAAAAATACAATTTAAGAAACACATACTAAAAAAGTGTACTTTAAAAATAATTAAACCATAATTATTAATTTGCCCCACGATCTATCTCTCCCGAATAAAGATTTTGCTAACGACATCCTCGACGAGGAGTCTATTCTAAGGAACGTATCAGTGACAAGACTTCTATTGGTGATAATTAGGAAGAATAGAAGATAAAGGGGTGGGTGAAGTTGGATGGTTGGGGAAGAAGGGTGGTTGTAACGTGTGGGTAGGAGTACTGGTTGGTTAAAGTAGATTTTTTGGAAAGTAGAAAAGGTGAAGTTAAAGTAGAGTATTATTTTTGCATGTAGTACATGGAAAAAAATTAAAAAATAAATCGGCATGTACTACACACGATTTCTCTGCAAATTTCATTGAAGATTTGACAATTCTGTAAAAAAAATTAAAATTCGTACGTACTCTGTGCGAATTTCCTTCGAATTTCAGGTTCCAATTTAGGGATAAAAAAATTTTTCCCGTAGGGATGGGGGGAGAAAAAAAAGTAAAAAGGAATTCTTTTTAAGGACGCGCGGAGTGAGTATAACATTCATAATAATCCTATAATCATGCCTATTTAAATATATATCCCCAAATTGTATCCTACAACCAATGAAACCAATGAATATGGAGTACGTAATTGTTGGGATTTTAAGCGCGTAAGATACCAAAAAATATTGAGAATACCAGAAAAATGAGAGAACAAACACAAGAAGAAAATATGAGAGAAAAAATTATATTTCAACTATTTCAGGACAATATACAAAAAACTCTCGCCTGTTTACAAGACTGAATTTCAGACACTCATAAACAGATCTTTCCACATCCTATGTCCGGATGTATTTTTCCGAGTAACTAGAACCAGTTACTCCCTACACTCACCCACACTCACCAAGACCCTTTGGATTTTCCCGGTGGTATTCTTGTGTAGATCGGAATTCCTCTTTTTCTCTCTCTACCTTGGTGGTGTGTAAAACCCACACACACTTGAACTAAGAAAACCATGGCTTTTTAAAGCCAAAATAAACCGTTCACGCTATATCATTGGCCAACAACCCAACATAAAAGTCCAAACATGGGAAAATCAACTTGATTCCTTTCAATCCAAAGATCTACACATGCATGCATCAAAGGATTATCATCACATGCCATGCATCTTCCTTTAATTCCTTTCTTTGCTACTATTTTTTTTTCTTCCTTTTTTTTTCTTTTCTTTCTTTTTGAATATTTAATCAATATTTCCCAAAAAACTCCACCTTGATTAAATAATCAAAAATTTTGTAGCTCCACCTCACTTCTCCGGTGAGATCACCGCTACTCCGAAATTAAAAAAAATATCCTTGGCGCCATCTCAGTCTGCTCCACCGAGACCACCGCTGCCAACCTCAAAGAAGAAAAAATACCTCGTGGCTCCACCTTGCTCAATACCACAAGAGCCCCCGCCACTTCCAGTTGCCGTTAAAACCGTGACTCCACCACAACCGACCCCGTCAAGATCTTTGCCGCTACCTTAGCTCCTTAGAGTTTTAACCCTCCACCCCGAGCTAAAAAAACAACTCACCTTTGTTAATACTCTCTGAGACCACCCCTCTAGCAATCAGCTTCTTTCGATCTGCCCATCTTGCACCGCCGTAGCAACACCTGCGGGACACGCCGCCCGACCTTTTCTTGCTGGGAAGACTTTCGACACAAGATATAATCCGCAGTTTTCCACTCCGCTAGACCACGGGTCTCCTCATATCATTTTCCTGCACCACACTTCACAAAGCCAGCATGCCGCTTCGTACCCGGTCCTCATGCCATCCACTTTGTTCTTGAAGTCCCATGGTCGCCTTCTGGCCAAAACCGACCAGTCCTTGGGTTCTCAAAATTTCTCTTTTTACCGCTTACAAATACCTCCTACCCAGTGCAACCAAGCTCCGATACCAATTGTTGGGATTTTAAGCGCGTAAGATACCAAAAAATATTGAGAATACCAGAAAAATGAGAGAACAAACACAAGAAGAAAATATGAGAGAAAAAATTATATTTCCACTATTTCAGGACAATATACAAAAAACTCTCCCCTGTTTACAAGACTGAATTTCAGACACTCATAAACAGATCTTTCCACATCCTATGTCTGGATGTATTTTTCCGAGTAACTAGAACCAGTTACTCCCTACACTCACCCACACTCACCAAGACCCCTTGGATTTTCCCGGTGGTATTCTTGTGTAGATTGGAATTCCTCTTTTTCTCTCTCTACCTTGGTGGTGTGTAAAACCCACACACACTTGCACTAAGAAAACCATGGCTTTATAAAGCCAAAATAAACCGTGCAAGCTATATCATTGGCCAACAACCCAACATAAAAGTCCAAACATGGGAAAATCAACTTGATTCCCTTCAATCCAAAGATCTACACATGCATGCATCAAAGGATTATCATCACATGCCATGCATCTTCCTTTAATTCCTTTCTTTGCTACTGTTTTTTTTCTTCCTTTTTTTTCTTTTCTTTCTGTTGATTTATGAATTCACTCTTGAGGAATAATTGTGTACATGGATGTTTATATAGGTGAGGATCCCTACATGGACTAGGATTCACCAAATAAGTAAACTAACATAAATAACAATTCTGCTATAACTAGACTTCTTTCCATATATGTCTAACATCCCCCCACAAGCTGAACGCCGTGAAACGAGAGGAAGCTTGGCCACCAATGCAGTGTAGCGTGGCGAGGCAAGAGCTTTTGTGAGAAGGTCTGCCAGCTGCTCATTAGAAGGAACATAAGAAACCGTCATTTTCTCTGCAATTACTTGTTCTCGTACAAAGTGGCAATCCGTTCCAACATGTTTCATGCGCTTATGGAAGACTGGATTCTTAGTCAGACAAATGGTGGACTCGTTGTCGCATAGAAGATGTGGAGGAGGGAGCTTGATTTGTAAAATGTCAAACAAATAGGTGAGCCACATCACCTCAGCTGCTGCGGCCGATAGGGCTCTGTACTCGGCTTCGGTGGACGAGCGTGAGACACGACTTTGTTTCTCCGTACTCCAAGAGAGTAAATTAGAGCCAAGATATATCAAGTAACCTGTAACGGACCGTCCATCTGTCATATCGTTGGCCCAATCAGAATCAGAATATGCACAGATGGTCTGTGGGCCTCGCCGAAAGACCAAGCCATGATCAATGGTTCCTTTGACATATCGCAGGATGCGTGTCAAGGACTGAAAATCTTGCTCTATAGGTGCATGCATCCTTTGACAAACATAATTCAGAGCAAACTGAATGTCTGGACGCGTGTTTGTCAAGTATTGGAGAGAGCCAACTAAACTCCGGAAAAAGGTGGGATTGTCGAATGGATGGCTCACCCCCTCCTCAGGCTGCCGTACGGGTAGGGGCGTGGGGGCCGGTTTGCAATCCTCGACTCCTGCTTTATGAAGAAGTTCACGGGCATATTTTTCCTGAGATAGAAGCAGATGATCCTTTGTGCGTATGACTTCAAGACCAAGAAAGTAGTGAAGAGGGCCAAGATTCTTCATTTGAAATTCCTTTTGCATAGCCTCGATGAATGAAGAGATAAGAGGTGAGGCACTGCCAGTGACAATAATATCATCAACATAGAGAAGGACAATGAGAATGCCAGAGGGAGAGTGCTTAACAAAGAAGCTGGTGTCATGTTCATTTTTCCCAAAGCCATAGTCAACAAGGAACCCTGACAGACGCTGGTACCAAGCCCGGGG